ACTATATATGCCTTCCAAGTTACCAATAATATGTTTCTTTCTTAAATTATATTCTTTAAAACCTGTTAAATTTTGGTTCTTTCCCCTTATTTCTTTCTCTTCTTGAGATTACCAACCTATCATTCATTCTTGACTCCTAAGCATGACACACCATTTCAATGATCAGAGCACAGCTTCATCTCACGATTCTCTTTGTTGCCCGTTTCTCTCTCCAATGTTTAAAACAAAGAAAGGGTAAAGGGTCTTATATCTAGAGATGAAAGTGTATTCAGAGGCCCTCAAGTCCAAACTCCTCATTTTACAGATGAAGAAACGAAGGCTCAGGGAGGTTAAATAGTTGAAAAAATAGGAGATAAACCTCAGGGGTAAGATGTGAACTTAAGTCCTCTCGCTTCAAAGCCCATGTTCTTACTGTCCCTTCTTTGATACCTTCACTATGTGAACTAAATGGACGTGTTCCCTAGTGGCTTCTTTCCTTCCCATTACAAGAAAGGGAATAGGATTGGAAGGTGTCTTGTGGGCTTTTAGAGATTACTGAGATGGAACAGTAGCAGTAACAATGTGAAGAAAAGGTAAGACAGAAGCAGTACAGGGAGATGAGTTCAATAAGGGTAAAGAAAGGAGAAGAGTAAAGCCATTGATAGATAATCTGAACATCTTTTTATTTAAGCTTCCTGTTTTGGACCTGTCACATCAGTCAGTTTCATGGTACATTTTATATTTCATACACTGGTATGTTGTAACACATAGGCCCTAGTTAGATAGCTGTCTATACCTCTTGCTTGAAAGAGATAGGGAGAAAAAATAGCACAGACAATATGCTGTAATCCACTTAGTATTCCCAAATCTCAAAAACAAATAAAATTTACTAACATGGAGAGGATACCTTAAATCATACTTCGAGGACATAGTCTCTGTTTTTTTTTGGTAGTATTATAGCTCTAGTGCTGAAAATCACATTTTGGTTCAGCCATGCAGTCAATAAACATTTATTGCAACCATAATAAGAGATCTGATTTATGTACCAAAGTCAACTTTGAGTGTGTCTAGTGTCACGGGAAAGGATTGTCTATATCTCTATCACAGTCTATCCTTTTAAGTAATGATAGGATGAATATAATATATTCATATAGCAATATAAGGCTTACAAATCTCTTTCCTCATGCATACATATGAGGGTAAGCATTCTTATTCCCCATCTTACAGATAAGGAAACTGAGTCTCAGAAAAGTCAAGTAATAGCCTATGTCCACACAACTAGTAGATGTTGTAGTTTGTCTTCTTCCTTTTCCCTATGTTACATTGTTTCTTCTTCTTTTTCTTTTTTCTTTTTGCATATTTGTGAAATGAAAGAAAACTGGAAAGATATATACTATAATGCATAATTTAAAAAGATAGGGTAGGATAGAATAATGCAATTAAATATGAAATCTTGCTTTTATATTTAAAATAGTTATTTGCCTAATTACAAGATGGGGGAGATCTGCCTTACAGTTTATGTGAAAAATAACTGATGTTGCTAATGATTACAAACTCAATGTGAGCCACCAACTATGGCTGATAAACAAACATACAGGCAAAAGTAAATGCATGTAAGGCTATATTAATAGAGGTAGCATGTCTAGACTGTAGGAGGAAATATATAGGGCACTGAAACAGAACATAGATGGAGAAAGTTATTACTCTGCTAATCAGACAATCTTTAAACAAGGTATCACACTTTAAGGGAGATAACCACAAACCAGGTAAATGTAGGGGAGAGTAAGCACACCAGCTAGGAATCTAGAACTAGCTCAGTTAAATGATGCAGCAAGGGAAGAAGTCAAAGTATGAGTAAAATGATGTCTTTGTGTTCTTTGGATCTGAATAATCTAAGTCCTTAACCTAAGGTTCATGAATTTGGATAAGAATCAAATATAGCTTTATTTTTACTAATACCTCTAACCAAAATTTAGTGTTCCCTTCGATTATGATTGTAAGTAATTTGGATTACTCACGTTTGGATCAGGCATTACCAGGCTGCCATAGGGCACCATGATGCACAGAAAAAGATCTGGAAACTCTGATCTAAACTGTTCCTGTCTCCTAGAATAATGAGCCGTATTCTATACAGGAATATGTCATATGCACTGAGGAATAGTTACACAAAATCACAAAATTTTAAGAGGAAGGTATCTTAGGGATCACATGGTCCGGCCAACTCATTTTTCAGATGATGAAAATGAGACCCATGTAGATTAAGCCAGTTGCTCAAGGTCATGCAACTGATGGGAAACAGAACCAGGACTAGAATCCAGTCTCCAGTCCAGTGGCCTTTTCATTAAATCCATATCAAGGAAATGTGCATTATGTGGTGGTGTGAGTTACAAAAAAAAAAAAAGTGATCCCTGCTGAAACAGAACCTGTCATCTAAGTAGTGGAGAAAGAATACAGAATAACAGAATTATAGATTTAGAACTAGAAGGGGCTTTAGAATTCATTAGGTCCAACTGCCTCATTTTATAAACCAGGAATTAAATGAATGCCCAGAGTCACAGAGTTAGTGCCTGAGGCAGGATTTAAAGAGATGTATAAAGGTAAGTCAACTGTTAATTAGCTATACTAATGGAATGAGTTGGTCTGTGGGGAGGCAGAATAATTTATTTTCATTTTAACACAGGTGTTTCTGGTGTCCTAACAATGTTTATAAACAAACCTAGCAAAGAAAAAACACAAAATTACATTCTGATAATTGGCTCAGAAGATTCTGAGAAGCTGCTCATTTCCTCACTGTGGTCCTTGAATAGCTCCTCCTTGTAACTCAGTCCCTTGCTGGGGACTGGTGGGTCACCCTCAGGAACAGGTTAAGCAAAATAGTTTTTCAATCAAATTTTTCCTGAAAAAAGACTGTAGGCCAAATGTATAGGTTTAAATAGCTTCCCTGTGAGATGAAGACTTCACGCAAAATAATAGTAAACTGAGCACGAAATGTACAAAACAAGTAATTAAGAAGCAGTAGATGGAAGTAATCACCATAGCTTGTAGATGCTAACCAACCAAATAATTAAAGGTAGTACCTTAGGTGCTTATCAATAAATTGGAAAGTGAGAGTTGCTTCAGATAAGCTATTATTCTGATAAACTCCTTTAATTATGACTTGACTCTATATACATAGCTCTCATCCATTTTGTTTGATAAAGCTTGGAAAATTATAGCTTCCAAGTTCAACTTCCAACTGAAGGACATCCATATAAATGTCCTTCAGCAGGAGATACTAAAAGAAACAAATAGTAAATTAATTAATTCAATTTCTCTTCTCATGTGTTAATGTGAGGGGCATGTAATAGTCCTAAGGGAACAAACAGGCTTTGGTCTTTAAAGAAACCTTCTGATCGGGTATGGTTACAGGCATGTAAAACAACAGGGTGCCATCCTCTCATCAGAAGAAAATACAAGCTTTTGAATTACAGTATAACATTTATAGATGATCATTCAGGAATATGTGTGGAGGTGTTATTCAGCATAGGGGGGCTAGAAGATGTAACACAATCCCATAAGGATCAAGTCTTTCTCTTTGAGGTGATTTATATTTAAATGAGTTCACCATAATCCTTTACACTGAAGTGCAAATTGGTTATCAAAGTCCATTGCTAGAAGGGTTGTTCTGCATGATAATGAATTCCACAATGTTTCCTAAAATGGAAACAATGATTTCAACAGTATCACAAGATATTTCAGTTAGAGAAAAGACTTCAAGATGTTGTCATAACATGACAGGGTATATAAAAATTACATACCTGTAGACTTCCTTATGAACAATTTGTAGATGCACTTTTTTTTGGGGGGGGGGAGTAAGGAGTAGAAAGGAAGGAAAGATCGAGGCTTGTAATTTCATTGGGGTAGGGAAATAAAATTCCTCTGTCTATTGAGATTTGCAGCTGTTTCACATGAAAGGTATGTGTAAGAGGCAGAATTTTTACTCAGGTCTTTCTTGCTTCTCAGGCTGGCTTCTCCGCTATACCCTCCACTGACTTTCTTGGGCATAAATACATCCCTGAGGGTGGTGTAAGGGGTGGAGTGACAGTGAGAAATCAATACCTTTCATAAGTTCTTAAAGGATTTTATTTGTCCAGGCATTCTGTAAAAAAATGAGTCACAATAAGGGAGTAGGCAAGTAGAAATGATGTTGGAAATATTTGTTTCTGTAGTTGCCTGATCTTTTATTTCTATAGCCACTTTTTCCTATATCAATGTCATTGTCTCCCATATTCTTGACCTGTAGAGTTCCTACAGTCAGAGAGGAGGGTTTCATCTTTACAACACTGATTTGGATCAGATCCTTTAAATTTGAACAAGATATCCCAGCTGGTGCCATTGATAATTAGTTTTGTAAGCCAACTGACCTCCCATTGAGTGATTCTAAATGTCTTGGGTCAAATGAAATGTAGGCTATGGTGGTTCCAGCAGAAGCCTTACATCAGGGTTGATATCCCAGGAGATGGCCCCAAGTGATAATACAGGGATAGAGTCCAATCACTTGCTTATACTAACCAGCACCATACTAGCCATATGTTGCTTTTTGAATGATGGAACTGAAGGAGGGGATCCAGACAGGGTACATTCCCTTTGTAATGCAGATTTGAATGCTGAAAGATTTTCTGATGGTTAGTGCTATGAAAATCTATGTTTTTTCATTGCAATGGTATTCCATCAAATGCCTTTAATCCTTAACCATATTTTGATATTGATAGAGGTTAGATGGAAATCCCAAACTCTCTTCTCTTTTTTAAAATTGTCAATCCCAGAATAAGCAGTTATTCATAATCTTTGAAAGGGCAAAATTCTGTTCCATCATTTCAAGTCCCAGTTTTGTGGCTTTATGGCTAGCATCTATAATACATAATAAAAAACTCAGCAAAGTTTCTCCTCTTATTCTGAGCTGTCAGTGTGACTGATAGTGCTGGCCTGGTCTCATTTACCTCCTAATGACCTGTCTATGACTACACATCATTTTCACTTACCTGCCTCAGCCTTCTGCTGCTTTTCAATCTTCTCCAGTCTCCCTAGCAAGGAGTCAATTTTAGTTTTGATTTGGGTTAATTCTTTCTTGATTGTCTGTAACTCATCTGATTTCACTGGAAGGAGGGACAAAGGAAAGAAAGAGAATATGAAATACACTCTGATTCACACAAAGAGCCCCCACTTCCTGTGTGTCCTTGACAATGTATGCAGCACAATGCCTAATATTACTGGCTTCTCATTTCTTATAAGACTCTTGGGAATGGACATTTAAAATAGATTTCTTACAGATTACAGATACTGAATCTTAGTAGGATATATGTGAACTACTAAATCCAATTGACAATGGGTTATTTTACAAAGGGATGGGGAGTTTGAAAATAAGATATAAAATGACTCAAAGTATAATAATAGGTTCAGTCTTGAAAAATTACAACAATGCCTTTAAGCCTATAACATAGAGTGCATTTAAAGAGAGGAATGGCTGAATCATAATAGGTACAAAGTCATCTCCTTACAGTATTTTTTAAGGCTGGGTTGGAATATTATAACTCATCAGGAACTTTAAGTTTTTATCCACTTGCTAGGTGATATACTGAAACCAACATAAACATTAACCTTTTAAAGTGATCAATTATGAGATTTTTATAATAATCCAAGCAAGAAGTAAAGAAGACATGAACTAAGATGCTGAAAACCATATGAGTAGAAAGGAAAAAAAAACAACAATACGTTCATCAGTTACTGATTCAGAATTTATCAGGCACTTAGAAGTGCCAGCCACTATGCTAAGTGCTAGGCATACATAGGCAAAAATATTTCCTGCTTTCAAGGAGCTCACAGTCTAAAGTGGGAGACATTATAAAAACAATTGTGCGTAAGCAAGATGTATATTGGATAAATAGGAGGTAACCTCAGAGAGAAGACATTAACATTAAAGGACTCATGGAAAGGCTTCTTGCATTAGGTGAGACTTTTTCTGGGATATGAAGGAAACATAGGAAGCCAGGAAATAGAAGTTAGGTGGAAGAGAAGTTCAAGCATAGAGGAAAGTCAGTGAAAATGCACAGAGTCTGGAGAAGTGTTTTGTGAGAGGAACAGCAAGGAAGTCTGTGTCAATTCATTACAGAATTAATGGGGGGAGTAAAGTATAAGAAAGCTTGAGGACTAGGAAGGGTCTAGCTTACAAAGTACTTTAAAAATCAAACAGAGGATTTATATTTGATCCTGGAGAAAATAGGGAGCTGATAGAATTGAATATGTAGTATCTCAAGTGTTCATGTAATTAACATGGGGATTTCCAAGTCCTTTTTTGTTTTAAAACCAGGGTTAATGCAATTTAATCTTGTCTCTTATTTACACATATTTTAATAATAGCTCGCATTCAAATAGCCTTTTAAGGTTTGCAAAATTCTTTGCAAAAATTATCTCATTTTATCTTCACAGTAACCCTAGGAGATAGGTGTTATTATTGTCCCCATTACACAGTTGAGGAAATTGACGTAGGAAGTGATTAAGTGACTCACTCAGATCCACACAGCTAGAAAAATGGATGGATATAAGTTTTCTTGATTCTAGGACCAGGACTCTACCCACTGTACCACATAGCTAGGATAGTGCCTTTGCACATGGTATATGACTAAATATTTAATTACTGAAGAACAAGAGCTTTATCTGGAAATAAATGAAGAAGATGGCATAAACTGGGCTTGTTTGTGCACATAAAAGGGTGTGCCTTGGCAAGAAGAGTCACCTCTTCAGGTAAAACAGGGATGAAGTAGGGGTCAGTGGGGGAAGGCCTCTGAGTAATGTGAGAAGAAAAGAGGGAACTCAGTAAATGGACTCTTTTTTTTTTCAGTGAAATATGACACAAGGTCCACAGCTAAAAAGGTGGGAGAAGGGGGTGCCATGGGAGGTATGAAGAGGGATAAAATGGTTTGGAAAACTTGCTATGGTGAGTAGATAGTGAATCAGTTAGAGAAGTGAAAAAGGGAGGGCTCAGTTGAGATGATGTAACAGAATATATAGAAAAAGAAGAGTAGAGGACCCATAACAGTTCCTTGGGGATACAAATTTATGTTACATAACCAATTGATTACCAAGACTTGTCAATTCTATTTTTCAGTAGACTTTCAGAGCTCTTCTACCCTTTATTTCCCCCACAAACATCTAATTCATTCTTCATTCTATTCTCAGAATAATCTTTCTTATAAATATAGCTAGCTATATCATTTCTAGGCTCAAAAATCTCCAGTGGCACCCAACTGTTTATCTATAAAAGTTCAAGTTCTTTTTCCTGACATCCAAGGCCTTCACAGACTGACATAAATATACCTTTCATACATATCCCATATAAATATTTTTTTCAAATGTGGTACTCCAACCAAATTTGACTGATCTCTGTCACCTAAACACACTCTCCCAATCTCCATAGTTTGGTCATAGTGCTCCATGCTACTGAATTACACTTCCTTCCTTTTCTTTAGTTTTTGAATTCCTGCCAATTCTTTGTTATTCTTATTCTTATTTATTTTTAGGTCATTGGGGTTAAGTGACTTGCCCATGGTCACACAGCTAGTAAGTGTCAAGTGTTTGGTCTGAGGCCAGATTTGAACTCAGGTCCTCCTGACTTCAGGGCTGGTGCTCTATCCACTGTGCCACCTAGCTGTCCCTTCCTGCCAGTTCTTCAAAGTCCAATTCAAATGACTCCTCCTGCAGATGTCCTTTTCTAATCTCCTTTGATCAATAATGACTTTCTTCACTGACTTTCATAGCCTACAAAGTATTTTGTTTTATAACTCTCTATTTCATTTACTATATTAATATTATATGGATCATAGTTATCTCTCTTTGGGTCTTATCTCCCTATTGCAATGGATGGGAGAGTCTCTTATCAAAAGTTTGTACCGGTAGAAGCCAAGATGGCAGATTAGAGGCAGCAACTCAACTGAACTATCTCAACATTCCCTTCTAAATCACTTTAAAATAACAACTCAAATAAAATTTTGGAGCTGAAGAGCCAAGAAAAGGTCAGGGTGAAACATTTTTCCAGCCTAAGAAAATTTATGGGGTTGGCAGGAAACATCTTTGACACCAGGGTAGAGGCCCATCCAGAGTACACATGGGGGACAGCAACAGTGGATATAGCAGCAGCAGCAGCTTTGGGAACTCTCAGCTCAGAGACAGTAAGGGGGTCAGACAGGGGATGGTTTATTGGCACTGGGTATAGCTGGCACTGATTGGCAATTTCATTGTCCACACACAGTTCTGAGTCATAGCTCCAGGGGCAGAGCAGCAGTGGTGGTTGGTCAAAAAGGGACTAGGGGCCATTGTCTCCAAGGCAAAGAGAAGTGCTAGCCCTTATGACTTCAGGATACCAGGAGCTCTTCTTGGGTAAAGACCAGAGTACAGACCAGGAGAGCAGTGATTATATTTCTCCCAGAATCACACCACTTTGAAAACATTGAAAACTTGCAGACTCCCAGAATTAGCTCTAAAAATAGCAGGCATAAAAAAGCTTAAACTTTGGGGCAGTTCCTGTCCACCCTCAGGTGAGCAGAGCCTAACTTTAACATAAAGTTCAGTCAAGAAACAGGCTGGAAAAAAATGAGCTAACAACAACAACAACAATAACAACAACAAAAGACCTTGACCATAAAAAGCTACTACTGTGGCAGGGAAGACCAAGACACAAACTCAGAAGAAGACAATGTGAAAACAGCTACAACCAAAACCTCAAAGAATAATGCTAATTGGACCCAAGCCCAACAAGAATTCCTAAAAGAGTTAAACAAAGAGATGAGAGTGGTAGAGGAAAAATTGGGAAAAGAAATGAGAGCAATGAAAGAAAATCATGGAAAAAAAATACAGCTTGGTAAAAGCCCAAAGAACACTGAAGAAAAAAAAATATATATGTATGTATATATACACACCCACTGAGTTGTGAATAGAAATCTAACTTATCAAATAGGGAAATAGGAGGGGAAGGGGAAGGAAAATTAAGAGAGTCAGTTGTTGGAAGCAAAATAAAAAATGAGAGAAAAGAATATGGGATAGAGGGAAATACACAGTTCATAACCTTAACTGTGAATGTGAATGGGATGAGCTCACCGTAAAATGAAAGCAGAGAGTAGAATGGATTAGAAACCAGAGTCCAACAATATGTTGTTTATAAGAGACACATTTGAAAAAGAAAGACACACACAAAGTTAAAATAAGGGCTGGAGCAGAATCTAATATGATTCAGTTGAAATAAAAAAGGCAGGGATAGCAATCATTATCTCAGACAAAACAGAAACAAAGATAGACCTAATTTAAAAAGATAATCAGGCAAGTTACATTTAGCTAAAAGGTACCAAAGACAATGAAGTAATACCAAAGATTTTTACAGCAAGTTTATTTGATAAAGCCCTCATTTCTCAAATATATGCTGAGTATAGAATTGAGTCAAATGATCAAAATGAGAACCATTCTCCAACTGATAAATGGTGAAAGGATATAAACAGACATTTTTCAGAAGAAGAAATCAAAACTACTTAGAGTCATATAAATAAATGTTCTACATCACTATCAATTAGAGACATGCAAATTGATATAACTATGAGGTACCACCTCCCACCTAACAGAAATGACAACTACTTGAGAGGATGAGGGGAAAATAGGTACACTAATGAATTGTTGTGAACCGGTCCAACCATTGTGGAGAACAATTTGGAGCTGTGACCAAAAGGTTATAAAACTGTACCTACATTTTGACCCAGCAATACCAGTACTAGGGATGTAAACCAAAGAGATCAATGACAAAGAAAAAGGACCTACATGTATAAAAATATTTATAGCAGCTCTTTTTGCGGTAGCAAAGAACTGGAAATCAAAGGATTGCTCATCAGTTGGGGGATGGCTGAACAAGTTGGGGCATATGATTGTGATGGAGTACTACTGTGCTATGAGAAAGGATGAGAGAGAGATAGTTTCAGAAAAACATGGCAAGACCTATACGAATGAATGCAAACTCACATGAACTGGGAGATCATTGTGCACAGTAACAGCAATGTTGTAATGATGATCAACTGTGGAAACACTGGGCTACTCTGATCCAGATAGTGAACCAAGACAA